TTGATTGATTTTTTGAAAGATTGATCCCAGCGGCCGGTTGATCCGGAGTCGAGAGAAAAACACTTGTGGCGCGCAGTTCGCCGATTGGTCAACGCACCTGCGGCGGAACTTCGACATTTCCAAAAAAACAGGCACGGCCCAAGACCCTTGTTCGACGGGCGTGGTCGCACACGGTGAAATCGAGGGCGGCACCCCAGGAAATCTTGGGAAAGTCGTGGCTTCTGTTGGCGACCTTTCTGCAAAACCATCATCATAATCAATCTTGCATGACTGCGAACGGGGATGGATGGAGATAGATAGAGACGGATCCGCCGAGCGCCGAGCGCCGACCGATCCGCGTTTAGCTTGTTTGTGTGGGGGTCGAGTTTATGTAGACTATCAATAGTCTACACAGTCAGACCGGACGGGGAAGTTCATGTTTGGATGCTGCCTCTCGCCCATCCTCGCGTTGACTGCCCGTCGTCCTTCCAAAAGTACAGCATGTAGTCTAAATACCTCATGCGCTGCATGTGTCTCACAAGTTCAAATAGTTTTCAGCAACACAATCAATAAAAAGGGCCCCACCTTGCCTCGGGAAAGGCGCAGATAGTGAGGCAGGTTCCCGCTGGCGTCAACCCGGGCGATGCGGTGAACGGTGGCACCCTCTGCCTTTGCCTGCTGCCGTGGACAAGACGAGAGTGGCCGTGGTTGAAAATGTGCAAACAACCACTACTGTTGTTCAAATATTCAAATTTTGCACCACATACAACAGTTTTCGGTCTCGCTCTCTCTCTCCCTCCGCAACAACTAAAGCATAAACAACCATGCGCAGCGCCGCTGTGCAGCCTGTGTTATGCAGCCTGAGCTACTCGAATGACCAGGACTCCTGTCACGTCCCGTCTGCCTGCGAGATAGCCCCCCCCTGCGACGTCAAAACCCTTCAAGAAGATGTGGCAAAAGCATTTGTTTTTTGCCCGCAACCGAGAAGAGTCCGAAGGTCTCGCTTACCTCTCGACGCAGTGAACGCAGAGGCCGGAGGCAAGCTTCAGTCCAGAGGTGTGCTATCCTGTGTCCCACAGGTGACGCTGTCGCGATATCTCTTGTCGTTGAGCAATCCTCCGACCGCCCAGGCACACCAATTGTGGGGCACTAAAAACTCGAGATATGCGCTGTATATTTACACAACACCCCCCGCCTCTCCCCCCTCATCCGAACATTTTGACCAAGAAGGCGGAAGGGGGGCGGGGGGGGGAGCGCAACCGAACACGCCGAATCGCCGAATCAAGGCCGAATTTCGCCACCGTTTGGCAGGAAGGGAGTCGAGTAGGCTGGACGTCGCCCCTCCAGCTCGTTCCGTGCTCACGCCATGGCCCAGCGTCATGGCCCGGCTGACCAATAGGCTGAACGGTTCATTGTCGCCAGCAAAGCGGCCCTAGCCATACCCAAGCACCACGCGTGAAGGCGGCTCCATGTCTAATGTGCCGCCACCACTCTCTGCTGTGTTCGTCGTGGGCATTGCAGTCACCATGTCTGCAACATCGGCAGACTTGTATACCCATCGCTCCCTAAACGCCAAGGAGGACTTGAAAGAACAGCTTCGGCGACCCGTCAGGTGCTTATGGATGCATGCGACGTGTAAATGTGTGTGACGTGCAGAGGAATGCCGGCCGGAAGGACCCAGAACATTCGGTAGGGCACCCAGGATGGGTTATTCAGAGTTTGTAGTGTCGCCTGGAAAAAAAAAAAAGTTCGGGGCCTTCCCCTTCTCTCGCGGCTCTCTCTCCGGAAACTGTGGATATCTCGACGACCAGGACGTCGATTCACAAGCAAGCGGATTTCTGCAGTAGATGGGCCGAAGCAGGAGGGAAACTTTCGATCTGTTTTCACCTTGAATAACTGTCCCTTTATCCTCTATCTCTTGCTTATTGAGTATTCAAAGTGGCAGCAACAATTCATCAGCCCATGTCGACTCCCGACCGATCGTGGATGACGTCGCCCGTCGACCATCTTCGGGGGGGGTGGTTGCCTGTTTTGAAATCCCGACGCAGTTTTTTTTGCCAATCAGCTATTTATCTGCGTGCCACATATAATTCCCTTTCTCGGCCGCCCGCCAGGCGTCGGCGTCGCGCGGGTGCACCAGGTGCCTGCGCAGCATCGTCCTCGCCCAGGCCTGGAAGTCTAAAAGGTCGGGATCCCCGCCGAGGGGGTGCGAGTTGAACCAGCGGTGTCCGGGCCCCGGGGAGAGGCGGGGCAACGGCAGGCGGAGGCGGAACCCGGCCCCGAAGACCGCCTGGCGCCTGTAGGTCTCCCCCTCTCGGGGGCCCAGGTAGCGCCAGCCGTTGCTCCTGTCGGGCAGGGGAGCGGCCTGGTCGACCTGCTCGGCGGAGCACCACCGCNCATCGTCCTCGCCCAGGCCTGGAAGTCTAAAAGGTCGGGATCCCCGCCGAGGGGGTGCGAGTTGAACCAGCGGTGTCCGGGCCCCGGGGAGAGGCGGGGCAACGGCAGGCGGAGGCGGAACCCGGCCCCGAAGACCGCCTGGCGCCTGTAGGTCTCCCCCTCTCGGGGGCCCAGGTAGCGCCAGCCGTTGCTCCTGTCGGGCAGGGGAGCGGCCTGGTCGACCTGCTCGGCGGAGCACCACCGCTACTCGGGCCGCGGAGCCGTGGCGGCGGCGTAGTAGCGCCTCTTTTTGTAATGTCGGAGCATTTTTTTTATTTAAAAGTAGTACGACAAAAAAAGTCGGCGGATGTGGACGAACGTCAACCACGGCGAAAGATCCCTGTGTTCGTGGTGGCTGTGACGGCGGGGCCGGGAGGAGTCGCTTCCATTGTTTCACCGAAGTTTTGAAGGAGGTGGCTCTTTGCCGGCTCTGAGTGACGATTCGATGATGGGATGTAAGATCCGCCGCGCGCGTGCGTGTGCGCGTGTGAGGGATGCCTGTGGTGGATCCTGCTATTTCTTCTCTTCTATCTGTCTGTCTACAGTCGGCTGCGGGATCAATCGTCGTGCGCGTCGTCATTATTGTAGTGGCGGGGAACAACGCGCCCCCGCCGGAATAGAGGCAGCCGCAGAAAACAGAGAAAAGAAAAGGCGCGGTGCGTGGGTCGAAAAAACATCCTGTGTGACTCGGCTGTTCGACTGTTAGGTAGGCCAGACAGTCAAGCGACTCCGGATCAACCGGCCGCTGGGATCAATCTTTCAAAAAATCAATCAATCTGGTGTCGTTGCTTTTTGTTGTGTCTCTCGGCGGAGGGGAGGGAGACGTGCGCATCACCCTGAAGTCTCTCTCGTACAAACTGCGTGCCAGTACATGCTGTATTTTGCAAGGACGACGGGCAGTCAACGCGAGGAGGATGGGCGAAGGCAGCATCCAAACATGTACTTCCCCGCCCGGTCTGACTGTGTAGACTTTTAATAGTCTACATAAACTCGACCCCCACACAAACAAGCTAAACGCGGATCGGTCGGCGGTCGGCAGTCGGCGGACCCGTCTCCGTCCATCTCCATCCATCCCCGTTCGTAGTCATCCAAGATTGATTATGATCATGGTTGTGCAGAAAGGTCGCCAACAGAAGCCACGACTTTCCCAAGACTTCCTGGGGTGCCGCCCTCGATTTCACCGTGTGCGACCACGCCCGTCGAACAAGGATCTTGGGCCGTGCCTGTTTTTTTGAAAATTTCGAAATTCCGTCGCAGGTGCGTTGACCAATCAGCGAACTGCGTGCCACAAGTGTTTTTGAACAACCATAGCCACCGCGCCATATGAGTTGCATTACTTGTCAATGGAACGCTGCTGCAAGCGCGATCTATGGCGCTTCTATCACCCAGTGTTCCACCCTTACTGTTCCAGTTCCACCTCTCCATCTGTAACTAAATATCTACCTCTTCGTCGAGCAAAGAAGCGAGCTTCCGTTTCAGGAGATGCAACTTCATCGAAGAAACGGTAAGTACGAACTCGAGTCTCGCCGATTATTGACAGGGGGTTGGCTTTGTGCCCCCCACCGGTGATTGCTACCGATGAGCACCATGCAATCCACCGAGGGAAAGAGTACATCGGAGAGGTGCATTGTGGTTGGGCGTTGTCCCGGAGCTCGGCGTAGGAGGACAGTTCGAATCGACCTCATCAGGAAGCTTCGAGCTTTCATAGATCGCGAGGATTTCGCCAAAGGAAGCTATCATTTCTATGGTCGTACGGGGAGGGGGGAGGAGTTATCAGAAAGGCAACTATCATATGATACAGATAATGGGGATGTTTGATGCAGAGAAGAGGACTTCATTGCCATAGCAATCCTTGAGCTAGTAGACTACATATCTTCTTTATTGCTCACCTCTTCAGGATGACAGCAACTCCCCTTCGCTTTTCGTGTCCCTCACCGTGTCATCATCTAGCTCCTGCCACCACTCTTCCTGCTCATCCGGGTTGTTGCTGCTCCGCTCTGTTCTTTTGCAGTCAACGTCCCCGCTACCGTTAACTTTACCTTTGTGCACAATGCCTAGACTAACAGATCCATCGGCGCTGGTATCAGGAGAGCGATTTTTCGAGCCTTGAACACCGTCAGCAAGAAAAGCGGCTGTTCTCTCCGCCCCAACCTGCGGGAGCGATGGCCGTGGCACATCGAGCTCGGCTTGGTCCCACTGTCTCGTTCCTACGTCATCGCCTGTGTCTTTTGCTGTGCGCCTCGATTCCTTAGTTGTCGCTCTATCCGTAGACCTTTGAAAATCCGGCCCCGCTCCTTCATCCTCGACATCTGAGAGGAGGTCATCGCCGCTATCGTTGCCGCTGTTTTTGTCGATGTCGCTGCCGTTGCTGCTGGTCGTACCACTGTTGCTGTCGTTGGTGCCACTGCTGCTGCTGCTATTGTTGTTGTTGTTGTCGACGCAGTTACGCTTGTCGCTGGTGCTACAGGTACTTCCATAAATACAACTGTCGATGCTGCTGTTGTCATTCGACGTAGTAGTCGCTCCGACCAGACCCACACGGTCGAAATTATCCTCCACAGCATCAACATCCTTGAGTCCCTGACTCAGTTCCTGATCCCCCTCTCCGAACTCCGACGATGCTGCTGTATGGCAGTTGTTTGAGTCGTGTGGAGTGATTGCCACCGTCCTTGAAGTTGCGGCGGCTTCGACAAACCTGGCAACTTTCACCGCAACAGGCACTCCCGCCGGTTTGATGGGCGATGCAGGCGGCGGTGATTGTTCTCTCTCAATCGGTGTTTTGTCGCGGAGCCCACCGTTCCCTTCCTCCGGGTGCTCCTCCAATAACGCCGCCTCTCCGTTTGGCTCTGAGCATTCTCCCAAGCTCTCTCCTCGCACATCGCCTGTAGCTCCTGTGTCAACCAAGAACTCTTGCACACGTAAGCGTTCCACCTCTCTCGGGTCCTCCCACTGCGTATGCCCGGAAGCTTCATGGAGGTAGTAGGGGTACCCCTCCGACTGGAACACCTTCCAGAGCCCTGCCAACGCTGCTGATGCATCCCTTGTTTGCCGCCCACCCATTTCCTGTGAAACCACCATCACGAAAGAGTCACCTTCCTTTTCCGATTCTTCGAATTCAACCGCTTCTTGGCCGGCGGTCGCTCCACTTCGTGAAGTCCCACGCCCCAGGACTGGTTTGGTGTCCACGTGCGATCCGAAGGATTCCGCCGCGTCAGCATGAGGGCTATCCGACATAGACGTCTGTTCCGCGCCACATCCGTGGCCCTTCCCGCCGACCTCTGGAGCTCGCGAGGAGGTACCCGACGAATCCTGATCGTCATCTACAGAGGTCATCCAGCACCCTATCGGTTTGGTCGTTCTCTCGCCGCCGCCACTTTTTTCCGATGCCGCAGTGCCGCCATGCGGTTCCTCAGTTTCCTTCTCAGTAAGGTTCTGGGTCCTCGTTGCCGAGGGGGAAACAGCCGCACCTCCACTGAAGATCTCACTCTCGCCCCGATCTATAGTATTATTGAAGTGGATCATCCGTGCGAGAGCACGGGCGCTACCCATGACACCTACGATGCCGGTCCCATCCCCGCCTGTTGTGGTTGCCGTTGAAGGAACGGCGGACAACAGCGACGTCGAGTCACGATTCGGTCTCCGATCGCCCTCCGGAGTTGAAATTGGAGTCGGAGGAGAAGGAGCCACGGTCGAAGGTGCGCTCAAGATGTTGTCTCTCCAGTTCGGATCCAAGCCCTCAAAGGACGCCGTCGACAACGACGAGTTGTAAGAAGATTGCTGGTTTGAAGGGTAGTAGTTTAAATGATGTTGCTGTTGTTCCTCCCCCACTTGGTGGTGATGAGATGCCGTCGAGAGGCGGTGACTGTCGAGTACCATGGTCCTGGCGCTGACAGGCACGCGAGCCAACGACGCTGACATCTTTCCAGGTGCCGCACAGGAATGCTGCGAGCCAAGCGGCTGCCTGCCACCGACCACGTACACCTGAAGGCCGTCGAAGAGACTGCCATGTGTGCCTTGAACCGGAGCGGAGGTAGAAAACGCCGGAGAAGTGACGTGCCCGTCGAATGTAGACTGAGGAGGAGTAGCCTTGGTGATTTTCAATTCACCACCGCTTGCGTAGAGACCTCTGCAGCACCGACGTCACCAGTAGCACACGAGGTAATCGTTGTGAGCGAGCGTTGCAGGTGCTCTTCGCGAGCAGTTTTAGATACAGACCACGATGTGACCATGGTCTATTTTCCTTACGGTGTACTACTTAGACTTGAGGTTGAAGGCAGGCCGAAAACGTGCCAGAAAAGAAATTGGACTAGAACTGATTCACCCCTACAGGAGCCCCGAGAGACAACGTAATGTATGCTTGACGCATCATATGCGTAGAACAACCAACATTGAATAGAGATGTGGTATTTGGCAAAAGAAAACAACGCCCTTTGAGCGGCAGGCATCGATTATATGCAAATCTTGCCTTCTGTCGTGCTGGCTGGTCGATCGCAGCAAGTCTCGATCAAAAGAATCCCCTCCAGATGTGTAAACGGGTTGCCTGCAGCACGTTGGGGCGTTCAAGTCTTCGAACTGCTGGTGGCCTAAACCCGCCGCCGAGTAGCAGCGGTGTTCCAGATCTCGACTCCGGTGATCAGGCGTGCCAGGACTGCCGAAGTCACAGCGTCGAATTAAGGATAGGTGATATGTTGGCAATAAGCGGAAAAATGAGCGCCTGGTTGCTATGAACGTACCGAGGGCGTGGGCGTGGAAGAACAGCTTCATGTTCCTGCGCGGGCTGGGCATACCGTGGTTTACCCCAGAAAAGAGCCGCGGCACATGTTTCCTTAAGTCCGATATCGACAACAACCATTGTGCCATAGTTGTGGTCTTCTACTCTCTACCTTCCACTCTCTACTTGTGTAGAACCGGAACGCTATTTGTCGAAGCGAGGGGGGAAGGGACATTGGTGATACGCAATAACCCCTCCGACTCTGCGTGACAAGGTCCAGCGCTTACGGGTTTGGTGCAGAACCGCTCGAGTGTGGCCGTGGTAGTGTGTCAGACGTGACAGACCTCCCCCCTTCGTTCGCTCGACGATGGGCCTGAAACTGTGCATCTCCCCCGGACGGTGTTCCCGCGGCAGGAGCATATTTCCGGATAAGCCTCGTGACGGCAAGGTGGCCGCCCCGAGATGCCAGTGCAAACGGGGTTTGACCATCTGCATTCGGAACGCTACGCATGAGGCAAAGGCAAAGACGGGGGGGGTAACGTGCGGTGTCCGTAGGCTTGAATAACGTCGGACAGTTCATCAGAGAAAGGCAGCACGATACTGCCGCTACGTCAAAAGCACAGAAAGAGCGTGACGAAGAGCGTTTTTGACAACCGTATTATTATGGAGCATCGGGGCAAACAAAAATCCAGGTGGATTAACTACCAAACCTCGAAACCATATACAAAAAAGTGCGCCGCAACACCGCAGTATTGAACAGAACAACCCCAAACCTTCTTGACTCTGGATGAAGACTCACTCTGGTTCGGCAGCTGTACCCAGCAATAGTTCGACGCAGGCGATGTGTCCCGGGGCAGCCGCCGTGTGTAGCGCCCTGTCACCCCTTGCGTTGCTCTCCTCCAAGACGACGTCGCCGCCAGCGTCGAGAAGAGACCCGAGCGCCCCGGCATGCCCACTCCCGGCTGCCCCATGCAGCGGGGTGTTCCCCTTCCTGTCAACAGCTCGCAAGTCAGCCCCGTGATGAAGCAGAGCTTCCACGATGCCGTCATACCCCCGGCGGCACGCGACATGGAGCGGTGTCTCTTTGTTGGGGTCCTTGTGGTTGGACACCACAGCGTCGGAGCGGCTTGGAGCGGCCGTCTCGAGGATAAGCCGCGCGCAAGCCTCCTGCCCCGAGGCTACCGCAGCGTGAAGCGCCGTCTGTCCGAAGGCCGGGTGCGGATCGTTCCGAGACCCACGGCGGAGGCATTCCCGCACCATCCCGACATCCCCCAGGCGGCAGGCAACAAGCATCGGGGTGTCTCCGGTCCCTGTCTGGGCAATGTCGACCGGACAGCCCTGGTCGAAAATGGCAAGCACGGCCGCGATATCTCCGCGCTTGACAGCCGGAAAGAGGCGTCGCCGCCAGGCGTGGATCGTGTCTACAGACCACGTTCCGCCCTCCCCGAGCACCTTTGGTTTTTCCGAAGAGAGGTCCGCATCCGAGCGAAGGGAGAGTTCATGCCGGGAAACCTCTGTGTTAAGCGCGGTTGCCGCTCGATCGCTTTGCCGTTGCACTCCTACATGGGAGTCAACTTTGTGGTCGATATCATTGAGCCTTTCGGCAGACACACTTTCTTCGAGATCAGGGCCCGCAAGGCTTGCAGCGGGTTCAGGCCGAAAGCGATGAGGAAGAAGTGGAGCAACAGCATCGCCAGCAGTCTTCACCGACCCTCCTCGTTTGGCCATCAGCGCCACCCTCGCAAGCGCGCACACCCACTCTCTTGCCTCCGGGAGACTCTCGGCCGCGAGGTCAAGACTTCTGTCGTGCCCCACCAAGCTGAAGCACAGCTTCGGATCCGGGAGCGTGTGGATTCCGCGGTGCGAAGCTTGCTGCCAGAACGCCGGCGTTTTGTGCCCCCTAGCTAGATCCATAATCTCTTCGACTAATATCTCCCTCGGAGGAGACCTTTTGAGGTCTCTCTCGGGGTCCACCCAGATGAAAGTGAGAGGCCAAGCGGCGCGCAGCCGCCTCATCGGCATGGACGGCGCAGCGATCTTGTCACCTCCTCCAGCTCGACTCGACTCGTTACCGCGGTCGGCCCCCCGCTCACACACTCCGCTACCGCCGCCTCCTCCTACCGTCGGTCGCACGACCAAATGCCCGCTTGCCGTAGTGAGCAGTCCCTCCGCCGGCTTCACTTGAAACCAGCGGCGCTTCGGCGTTCCCGCGTTGTGGTAAGGAAATTTCCACAGAAATCCACCTTCGACAAGAAGACGAGGGAGGCTAAGATCTAACCCGTTGGCAGTATTTCCCGACGACTCGTTCCCCCATCCCTTTGGCCCTACCGAGCGCGGGGACGAGTTGCCCCTCACGAAATCTGACCAACTCTCCGGCGTAGGACGAGAAGTCGCGGCATCTCGCCTCCTTCTGGAATGTGAGCGTATTGGCGAGACGTCTGTTTCCGAGGGCTCAAAGCCATGAGCAAACGAGAGCAACCGTTGTCCTTGTTCGTTGCGCAGTTGTTGCTGCGCTCTGAGTGCCTCATTCTCACGAATCAATCGTTCGCGATGCCTAGCATCTTTGCGCGCGTGATCGTGGCGCCGACCCGGGGGATGAGGTGAGTCCAGTGATCCGAAGTGACCGTCGGGGTCATGTTTGTTGTTCCACGGGCCAACGTCGAATCCTCCATCACTCAGTCTGCAAAACACACAAATTTCCGACACACACGACGCCATGATGAACACAGACGTTGGTTAACGGGGATAGATATAGAGCCAAGACTATGTCTAGGGCAGAAAAATGAGTCGTACAACAGTACAGACAGGATTGCATTGGCTTGGAGGGCAAACTAGTTTCGGGTGGGTGGATCCTCTGGGCGCAGGACTACCGGCTGATGAACGTGAGGTTCGATTTCATTAGAAGCTGCAGGTGTAATTGTACCTTGATGTTCGCTGTTGCTGTTGCTTCAGCGCTTTGTTCTCCCTCCTGAGCTCAGCCATTTCCGCCTCAACCCGATGATGCACCTCTCCGGACAATGACTCCGTTTCCGTCAGCTCTAACCTTCTGCTACCTCGGCTCTTTTGTCTGCCGCCCACTCGACGACGACGACGTTGATGGTTAATGTACTCGGTAGCTCGACGTTGTCGCCGAGGCGGTGGAGACCGGTGCTTCGCGTTGTTTCTTCTGCTGGCACGACGATGTCGACGAGCTCCCCCGTTTTCAAATTCGCAAGCCTCTTCGAAATCCTCGAGTGGAGCAATTCGCGAGTAGTTTTGCATGGAGTTTGATGGCAGCCGAGAGCTCTGGGGAATACGCAGACCGAAGAAATAATTTGTTCGTCGTCCAGAAGATGCGGGCCAACAGTCCGAACTGTCGCTCACGCTAACGGATCCGATACCACCGTCTTCCTCCCCCCTCGCCTGGAACCCGCTTGTCGACCCATCATCGTCTGTACTGTTCTTCCAACAGCGCCGAGAAGACGATTTATGTTCGACGCGGCTTATAGTTTGGTTCCTGCGGCTAATTCTAGTGTCGATTGAAAGCCCCATAAAACGTGGGCCGTCGCTGTGTTTTACATCATCGTCGTCCTCTTTGTCGCGATGGTTGCGTCCGGTTGGTGCTCCTTCTGGACCATATTCGTCGGAGAGATTGAAAGAGTCGAGCAGGGTGTCAACCTCTCCCTCGTTGTTGGTTTTGGTGCTCTCAGGTCGCGAGCTGGCGGCGTCTTCCTTCGCGCTGTGTTTCCTTTGGCTAGGGTCTCTTTGACCACACCTGTCGAAGCTTTCAAACACCCCACCACCCACATCAGTAGACATCACTTCCCCGCCCAACAAGTTGTAGCTCAATGGGGCTCTTTCCTTACCCTGGTTGAAGCCTTGTGGCCAATCAGGTGCCCCCTCTGTGCGTGGTTCCTCGTGAGCAAACGCGTGAGAAGCTACTGCAACCGGGGGCTCCGCGCCTGGCCCGACGCTTCCGAGTGTTTCCGCCGCCTCCGCATGCCTGCTATTTCGATCTTCCGCGCGAGCACCGACACTGCGCCCGGTGCACAACACTTGACCGACTTGTTGACTTCGAGCAGTTGCTATCGGAGAGGAACTGTCTAGCAAGGCGTCCGCTGGAGAGTCCGCTAGAGGGGCAATGTCGCCGCGTCCTTGTAGCTCCTCCTGGAATTCGGCGGCAGCGTAGACTTTGTGTCGGTCTCGTCGAGGCATGGCACTCGCGCATCCGTGCAGTGTATCACCGTGGTTCAAGCAATGATGAGAACAGCCCTTCAGCTCTAGCCACGGAAAGTAGAGCTACATGTAGTCACGCGTCGCCGGTGTTGTGGTGAGGGCAACGCGGTGTAACATCAAGCGTTTCTGCCGGTTCGGAAGAAATTTTTGTGAACAGGCCAACAGGCCTAGGAACAGGCCCGAGAGTTGCCCCGCACCCACACGCACTTTCGCTTTTCGGTTTGTTTTCTGTGTGCTGTTCTGTGCGTAGTGCGTAGAGGACACGCTATCGGCGGTAGTTCGCTCTTTGCTGTGGTAGAGGTGTGAGCAAGGTATTTCAGATGTACCCTTTGTTCTCTTCATTTCAGTGGATGTATACACTCATTCATGTAGCATAGACTGCAAGTCTAGTACGGTGAAAGTTCATTTTCCTACTGGGTGTCGTTGAACTTTCACTTTCGCCCATGGAGACTCACAGCTCCGAACACTGAGTCATGACCCCTATGCATTTGTGTCGTAGGTGGTTCTTTCGTCGGTTCTTCGTTTCGGGTGAACAAATAACACAGCCTAGAAACTACATATCACCACCGAAATCAGACGGAATCGTGATTTAATCAACGCAGCAGTGTAGGAAAAGGAGCGGGAGAGAGGAGATGCGATGCACAAGAGAACGACCACAAAAATCAAGATATACTGCGCCCAAGTATATACTGCTGTTTTTGCTCGAGGTGCCACATGGAACTGCCAACTCACAAAGATGGCATTGACCTCCGCTTTGCCCCGTCCTTGCCATTGTCCTGACACTACGCCATCCGCCACGGGCTGACTTGAACTGCAACACTCAAAACATAACTCCCCCGTTCATATGTACAACACAAACTTGTTCTGAGGCCACACCGCACAAAGACGAACACCGCCGCACCAATTTTCAAGCTAACACAACTACACACGAGACTCTGACGCTCACCAAGCATCATCGTCAAACCTAACCTACATGAGCGACTGTACCAATCTTGATCTGCATGAACTTTACGAGCTTTCAACCTGAAACTACGCCAACACACGATTTCCCTTGGGCAACATATAACTCAAAAGGGGGAATCGGTCAACCGTGTCGGTCTGAAGGGTTGGTACCTTGGATCAGCTTCTAAGATGCTTTGATTTAAACATTGACTCCGCACATTCAGCTGTACCTGAGTTTCCAACAGCCAACGCGCAAACTTGTCCACATGAGAGTTGGTTGATCACCCTACAACACAAACCTGGTAAAAACCATCCGTGTATCACCTACATACCAACACGCCCTTCTCCAAAGCATCGTCTCGAGCGTCAGGCACTCATCCGACAAAACAAGTTGTGTACCGGGAGCGCAGAACGGTAACAAGATACCACCATGCCAACACCCGCCTGTTCAACCGAACGGTAAAAAAACACTGGACAAGCAATCATATTTGGACAAAAAACCTCTTCCAGCCCAGCTTGCTATTGGCTTCAAGCGGCGACCGCGGCGGGCTGCTCAATCGCCGCGATGCTGCCCTTCATCTGAGCCTGCTCTTCGGCCATCGTCATCAGCACTTCGGCGGCGGATTCAATGGTCTCGTCCGTCTTGCAGAAGCAGAACCGCACAAGGCCATTCCCGAGACCTTTCTTGCGAGAGTCTTCCGAAAAGAAGGGACTGGTGGGGATGGCCACGAGACCGTGCTCGATCGCCAGCCACCGGCAGAACGCCCAGTCGTGCGTCATGACGGGCATCGCTGGAGTGCTCGCCTTCGAGTACTTCTCTGGCACCTGCGCCGACAGGAGGGGTGGGACGTCAAGTAACTGGTTAGGATCGTGATGGTTCGAATGATTGTCTGGCCCTCGTTTGGCAACGGCAAGCAGGCATCGGGAATACACCCCGTTATTATAGCTGTGTTGTCCACGTGGACGAAGAAAACTTTCACGTGAACCCCGCCCTTGGTCGCCGAAACGCCCACAGCACGAAACCCCTCCTTCACGGTCTAAACGTTTGAACGATGGCGGTGACAACACAACTCGACCGCAGCACGCTATATTTATGTCACAACGCGCTTTCAACAGAACACGCATGCCCCGTTCACCCAGCCCTTCCCCCAATAGCACCAAAGCACGTTAACCTTGATTTTGGTGACATCCCCGATGAGGAAAAAGCCTCCTTCCCCCTTGAGGGACTGGATGCCCGCCGCGGCGAGGGCACTCTCCAGCCGATGTCTCTTGCCCGAATATTGCTCCCTAAGCCAATCGTAGTAGCTGGGACTGCCCTCGTACGGCTTCTCAGCGTCCACGAGCACGGTGCACATGGCCTCCTGCATGGGTGTCGCGGCGCAGAACTGCATGTACGGCAGGATGGTGTGTATCTCTTGGATCACGCGCTGGGGGCCCAGGACCCAACCCACCTGATGGGAACCGAAGTGGTCACGAGGAAGAAATAGAGGTTCGTCATTTGTGCCAGAGTTGACCAGGGCACGACAGGCCGTTTTCGAGCAACAGACCAAGGGAACAGAACGGCGTACAACGCGCTTAGAGGCAGCAAGGTCACAAGAGGGGTACAACAGCACGGTGAAGCAACGGGCTGTTAATTGGATGGCTCTCATCCAGTTGTCTTTTTACTGTTGGGATGTGCTGACGATCAAGATATACAAATCAAGGATTGCCTCTTCTCCTCGCGATGCTAGCTTTGAAAAAACAAGCACCATGAACAGAAACATGCTCTCTCTCTCTCTCTCTCTCTCTCTCTCTCTCTCTCTCTCTCTCTCTCTCTC